GGGAAATGAAGGTTCTCCAGTCCAAATCAGAATTATTGATCGACCGTGGTAATAGAACTTTTCCTGGTGACCTGATGACTGGCTTTAAGCTCGGCTTGCATTCTGCTGCTTAAAAGAAGATAAACAGTAATCGATCACTCATAAGACTGTGGGTGTTCTTTGAGTGACTGTGGAAGAGACAAAGGCCAAAGGCGCTAAAATGAGGCGACACACTTCTGCATGCCAAGCCCGCAAGGAAGAAAAACATAAATGCAGTCCAAAGTCTCTGCGCTTTGCAAGTAAATAAGAAAACGGAGGGACTAATATTTCCTGTTACAATAGGCCTAGAGATTGCGAAAGAGAAATGAGCATGTCATTCAGCAGCAATAACGACGATTCCGTTGGGGATCAGCATATAGTGCACGGCAAACACCAAAAACGTGTCTTTATACATCTGTAGAAAAAGAAGCGGCGACAAATTTGACATGCTTTTTCTTCCACTCTTAAATGAGAGGAGGGGTAGAAAAAAACGTGATAATTACCAACCTTTCTGAGATAGAAGAACATGCTAATTCTTTCCGTTCCTTGGCGCGACAATAAGTTTGACGAGCGTGGGCTTGATAAAATAAATGTGCCAAGGGGGGCTTACTGAAAATCCAGTATCATCGACATTGCCATCGTGCTAAGCAAAGGATTTAGTGTCGCTTGTTGTTTCTGTTATGCTTTAGCATATAATTTTAGCGTGCCTTTAGTTTGCTGTCCCTCATCGGCTATAGATCGCTCAGATTCAAATGATCAAAGGGGGCTGTAATGCCGAGATACCTTGTTTGTGATGGTATCATTTTACTATCTAGTATGAAAAGGCCGCCAGCATCAAGTAATGTGATATCAGACAGAGGTCCAAGCACAGGCCCGCGTCCTTCATCTCCGATGTAATCGAGCACAGTTGCAGTAGCAGTTAACTAGCAAGTTTGACCCCCTTTTTCTTCTTCTTTACTGCCTTTGTCATGGAAGTTGCGATAGTCTGATTAGCATCTGTGGAAAAAAGGGATCTTCGCTTGCCTGGTTTGGGATGTGTGCGTGTATACGGCAAGTGTTTGGATGATCCCATGAGATGTTTATATATAGCTTGACAGAAACAATTGCCCAAAAACACTTCGCTCATTCAAATTGCAAGTCAGCAGCACCCGCACGCAACATCTTTTTCTGGAATAGGCCTGCCAACGAACCCATAAATAGCCTGCCTAGAACTTCTTTCTTTTTCGCTTTTCTTTCAACTTTGTATACTCTCGCTCCCTTTCTTTCTATATCTCATAACCCTTATTTATTCACTATATTGCCACTACCACTACTACATCCATGCTCAATCGTCTTTTCTTCCAAGGTGTGGCTGCAGCAGCAAGCTTGCTAGCTCTGGGCGTATCTGCCCAAGACCAACAAGCATGCAACGGCTATGCTGAATTCTGTTCCAGACCATACAGCGACCTGACTTATGTCCTGACGCACAACTCGTATGCGTACATGGCCAACCCTGCTGCTAACCAGCAGTGCGATATTAGTGCACAGCTCACCGACGGTGTCCGTGCTTTGAGACTTTCAGCAGTAAAGCCAGACAACTCGTCCGACATCCACCTGTGCCACACATCTTGCTCCTTTCTAGACGATGGCCCGGCCCAGGACACCTTGTCGACCTTGGCTACCTGGCTCAAGGACAATCCCAACGAAGTACTGACCGTCATGTGGAATGTCCCCAACCAGGATTTCTGGGCTTCCGATTTCCAGGCACCGTATGAAGCCAGTGGCATTCTCGAATATGCACACGTCCAAGAACAGCAGAATTTGACGTGGCCCACCCTTCAGGACTTGATTACGTCTGGAAAGCGCCTGATCAACTTTGTCGATGTCAATGCAGACCAAAACAGTGTCCCATGGTAAGCATAGCAAACAAAAACAGGGAGAAGAAAGAGGGAGGAGATAAGCGGGTTAATTTCGTAAAGAAGGATAGGGTAATATTGAGGGGAAGAGGGTGTACACACAATTAAACAAAAGAGTGATGTGTAGGTTACACTCCCAATATGACTACGTGTTCGAGACGCCCTACGATAACAAGAACGAATCGTCATTTACCTGCACCATTGACCGTCCCGAAAACCCTGTGAATCCTCAGCAAATGATGTACGGCATGAACCACTTCTTGTATGGCTCGTTGCCATGGGGCGACAATGTCATTCAGATTCCTCAGAGCGGTTCAGCAAGCGTTACCAACTCGCATGATTCTTTGATGTTGCAAGCCAACGAGTGTAACCAGGCATTTGGTGCGCGTCCAAACTTTTTGATTGTCGACTTCTACAACCGTGGTCAGACGTTGGAGATTGCTGCAGAGCTCAACAACGTGACTTATGATAGCTCAAAGGAACTCGTCTGTGACAAGAGTTCGACCAACACTGGCAGCGATAATTCCGACTCGGCTGCCAGTTCGCTCCAAATATTCATTAGCTCACCTTTCATTGCCACCTTGTTGCTAGTTGGCCTTGTCATGACCTTCATGTAAAGAAGCACACACACACACTTCTCTAAGAAGAAAACCGCATTAAAAAAGCATACGCAACGCACACAAACGTGCACATGTAGATATACGTATATTACTTTTCCTTTGTAAATTTATCTGAATTTTTACTTACCACCCAACCACTCAGTGTATAAAAAAGGCTCATGGTACTACATACCCTTTGAGCTTAAAATGAATATTACAGTACATTCACACATAAAGTTTGTGCTATGTATCATTACAAAATGATTGTTTGAGTAAAGCACGTTTTTACTGTGTGTATATGGATTATCCCTCAAAACATGAATGCCTCCGATGATTGAAAATTTATGATGTTGCCCTACATCTAAGCTCAATGCACGTTTGTTGTTGTGGTTGCTTTTCACTTCTTTCGGCTATATATTGCCGCCGAATTTGCATACATAAGGTATGCCAAGCTTGTCCGTCGTCATTAATGAGCTTAATTGCTCTTTGTTACTATTATTATATCTCGATAGATACAAAGGCGTCAAGTATGGCTGCCTCGTATTACTCATAGAAGGTTTTGACATTATGTCATGCAAAAGTATGAATGTAATATTTATTTCCTAGGGTCAAAATCCTTAACAAGCATATCCGGGTGCGGCAACAGTAACAACATGTATGTGTTGCATCATCAGATGATGTCGCGGGCAAAGAGAAACGTAATTGCGCAGCTCGTTTACTATGCAATGTTCTATATTTATATGCAGTAAACAACAACAACAGCATGCAGGCAGAACCCTCTTTTACTTGTGGCTAAACCTGTTTGAACACGCCTGCCTAATTATGTTTGGCTGGGAAGGAATGCCTTTTCTACATATCTGCTATGTATAAATGAATGTTTCTGTTCACAACGACATAACGAAATAACAGAGTGTATCATGTGTGCTTTATAGCAATCTGACTCGCTTGGTATCTTAATTGGCAAATTGCTTTTATTTACAGCTGTATCATATAGCATCATGCACATAACGACTTTTTGATTTTCATAGTGCATCTACAGTTTCCATATTATTTATTAGTTCTCGCTTTTTTTACTGGTACATCAAGTGTACAAGATGTGCATGTGCAAAATTCAAAATGGTATAGAAGTTATATCCGGCGCAATCGATCCTTTCTATATGCCTAAACTTTGCTAGAACATAAGAAAATTTCAGTCGATCTAATTAGCTATATCGTATCAACACATGTGATTTAGTCATGATAAAAATGGAGATGGTTTATTCTCACTTGGTGCGATCTGATAGTCCATTTTGGCTCGAACGACTCGATTAGAAATCATGCTCACTTTCAATACCGTGGCCTATCTTTGTTTTTGTGTCATCCAAGTCAACTTCAATTGTAACAATAAATACACTACAGGCGTTAGGAAAACTAACTATTTCGTATCCGACATCGCGTGGGTAACTGGTATTTCGGCGTACAGGTTTTACGTCAGATAAGGCTTCAGATCGAAAAACAAGTTTTAGATGGAATTGAACGACGGCGAAAGAAGGCACAGGACTGTTGTTGCTTGATATTGCCCCCACTTCATCGACGATGCCATTTCAAACAGCACGCTATGGAAAAACTCACGTATAATCTTTGACGTCTTGTAGTCCGATCCACTGCGGCGCACGAATCCACGTGATGAAGGATCGCGATAAGGCTACTACCATTTGGGCTATTCGTCCGCCCTCTTCTTCTGGTCGAAGAGCAGACCACCCGTAGGTCATAAATACATGGGCATAAGCGACCAACGGAAGCAACTTGGTCAGCCTTATTCTTTCTCTTTGGTGGCAGCGACAAATAACGCGTTTCGTTGCTTTGGACTGTTGAGCAATTCAGTGATGGAGGAGTTGATGCACGTTTTTAACCTGTGCAGCTTCAAAATTTACACTATTTTGCGAATTTTCTCAGATCCAGGCGCATGCTGCTGGAGCCGTTTATATGCTGTTCCGTGAGTCGCTCTTCCTCGCAGTTTGAGTGCCAAGTGCAGTCTTGAATGAACACATATAGATCAAGGCTCCTTAGGCAACAGAAAAGTATAAAGTATGATTATTCAATGTTAGTATCAGCGAGGAATCACTCTGCGGATACCTCGTTGATACTGTTATACAGCAATGAGGAAACAATGTGCTGATACCTCGTTGATACCTCGCTGATACTCGTTCAGCATGGCCAAAACAAAAATACGGAAACGACCATGGAATCGATCCATTTTAATATTGTAACATCCTAATATGTACCTTGAATATGTAGCGTAAACAAGAAACAGCATAATTCATGGAAGTGAAACGAACTTTTCTGATAGTTGGCACCTTGGGAATATTTGCAGCAACATAATATTTAGCAGCATTGCAATACCGCAAACAGTTGAAGCGTTGATTAGCAATTACAAAAGGCTTTATGCTTTTCCAAGCAAACAAGTACAAACAAGTTCATGTCCGTCTACATAAATTCTATCGTTCGAGCCGATGTTGCTTTACATTATATATAATAAACAAGCACGAATATGATAATATCATAGTGGGAATTTTGGCCATCCAAGCAGGTATATATAAGCGATTGAATGTTTTAGGTTAATCGCCAGACAATTACAGTAATACAAAGGTGATTGAGAGAAACAATTGATTGCCGCTCATCTATCCATAGTGCAACCGGCTCTAACTCGCAGATTTTCAAGTACTATATAGAAAATACGTTAGTGGCGTGCTTGGATAGCGCCATATACTCTGGATCTTCGATACGACGTCCAAAAATACTCGTAATAAAGTAATGCATCATCATATACAGCAAAATGACGTTCTAATCTCCTCAAACGTACACAATTTATTTCCTGTTGATGTAGTTGTTAAAACCACAAATATAATGTTTCTTAAGATTCACGTCTCGTCAACTGTTCTTGCGGGATTCTATAACGCGTATTGTTGCGATACGTTACGAAGAAGGCTTATAGGTTCTCCTGTCGTAACGGTAAGATCCAAGCCTTAAAAGCTAATCTTGATTGGTGCAGTGAGTGTATGTCTGTGAGCGGCAACATCACATATAAAAAAGATCATTGGAGCCGAATAAAAGCGATCCACAGCACAGCACTCTCCAGTTGTCCTTCCATAATAACTTGCGTCTCTGTTATAACATTCAATTTAATACCATGGCAAACGATATCCAAGAAATTAATGCTAGACGCCACAGACGGACAGACCAAATCACAAAGGCATTTTTCATACTCCAGTATACTATAGCGCGAAAAATGAAGGGAGGTAATGATGCGTGCATACTTTGACTATCATGTAGCTTAATTACAAATATTAATAAACTAGCATAAGAGACACATCTTTGAAGCACTATCAAGTGATCGATATAAGGAGGAAGGAGTGCCCTGCATACTAAAAAGACGGTGGTATAAATAATGCGCGCTTGGTTGAAAGATGAAATCCAAAAGTTGACAGGTAAATAAAGTATATCCTTCGAACCGTGGCACAAGGTCGCTATTACGTGAATGACACTTTTCGCTATTGACGGAACCGACCCTTAAAGAGTATTTACTAATACTGCTACCCAACCCCATGCTTGTATACCAAATCTGTCTCCTCCCTCCACAGCTCTCCAAAACTTTATGAAATCATCGGAGAACTCCGGTTTTGAGGTAACGTTCGTTCGTCAGGCACCGAAAAGCAATACACACTCTTCTTTTTTTTTACGCCTTGTTTTTCTTTATATATTAAGAAAAAAAACGAAAACAACGTTACCAATTACATGGGCCCCGATGAGCTACCAAAACACGACCCCTCTGGCATGTCTGAACCACAGCAGCACCAACATAACGAGGCATATTATAAGACACTCGGCATACCCTTAGAACAACTCAGCGAAACGCAACAACCACACCAACAATTCATACATTCCTCTTCGCCATTTGCATATCCATCTTCCAATGTCATTCGCTTTGCATCTAAAAGGGAACAACAACGGCAACAACCAGATTCTTTCGAGAATTTTGATTTTGGTGCGCTATCTTCGGCCACTCGTGCTGCCGTCGCTGATTCTACTACAACCACTAGCCCTGAGCAAACCAGAACAAACAATACGTACGACGAAATGTCATCTCACGAACAACCTATTCCTCATTCATCGGGCTTGACAGCCATTTCAAACATGACGAGCGATGATAGTGCAACATTGATTGGGCGCAGTAATACTCATCATTTACAACTTCATCACCAACCGTTGCAGACAACGCAAGAATATCCATCACCAACATCACCCTCTTCTCCCCGCTCTCTTTCACCTCCTCCTTGTTCTCCGCAATATGAACAAGAAGAACTACAGCAGCATCCGATAAAAACACCATCACCTATCATTACGCATAACATTGATAATTATCACCATCAACAACAACAGCATCCTTATAATCATTATCAGCATCAACCACAATCGGCCGCTTCAATAGCTGCAGCAGTAATTGATCGACCCATGGATACAAGTAGACAAATGAAACTCGTTCGTAATTATAAGCTTTTCCCAGGCCGAAACAAGTTCTTCTGTGGCGGACGATTAATGACAAGCAGAGAGTACTGGGCATTCATTTTGGCATTAATATTGCTGATTGCACCTTCTGTATTGTTTGGTATTTTCACGTGAGTTCTCTCGAAGCTATTTACCTATCATTATTCTTATCGGTATGCATAAACTTACGTCCATGTGTGTGTTTGGTGATTATCAAGCTGTCCGTTTATTTGGGAGCATGTTCATCCAGCCATTCCTATTGTATTCGCCTATCTGTTTGTGCTATCATTGACATCCATGATCAAGACTTCTTGGACCGACCCTGGCGTAAGTTTCTCTTACCTTGAATATATGACTATGTGGTGTATTTATATATGAGAGTATAAGATGATTTGCAAGAGAAAGCTTACTAGAATTATATGTATGTTATTTAATTCTTACTAGATTATACCCCGTGATTTGGATCCGTTTCCAGTATTAGAGAGATACGAGGATCCCGGATCTCCATACTCTGAATCCATGTGGCATCACGGTGTACCTAGTCAAAAGGAGGTGCGCATCAAAGACAAGACATGGACATTACGCTACTGTGATACATGCCGTATATATCGGCCACCTCGGGCATCGCATTGCCGTCAATGCGATAATTGTGTTGGTAAGCGTTAATATTTTTTTCAGCAGTTGCTCAAAAGTTATAAACGACGATTAACAACGCCTTTATCTTCATTTTGTAAATCAAAAATATAGAGGTGGAAGATCATCATTGCATTTGGCTTAACAATTGTATTGGCTCACGCAACTACCGACCCTTCTTTGTCTTTATCAACACTGCCACTTTGTTATGTTTATTCGTGATTGTGTTCTCAATTGTTCATCTACTACTTGTCTGGAGAGAACAAAACACTACCCAACAAGTAACGTTCAATTCGGTATTCGATGCAGCGCCAGTCAGTTTCGTATTGGCTATCGTATGCTTGGTTCTCCTTTTAATGGTGGGCGGTCTTACACTATACCATTGCTCCTTAATTTTGCGAGGTATCACCACGCATGAACAGGTAGAAAATACAGATCCCATAGTATCTTTCTCCTCCTTTCCTGAGAGTACCATTGTTAACTTGGGTTTTCTATTTGTAGCTACGTGCGTCTGTGATGACCAAGCACTCAGATCTGAGCGCCAACCCCTACAACAAAGACAATCCAGTTCTAAACATGGCAACTGTTTTGTGTCGTCCTCGTCCAAAAAGGTAGGCTGCGTGTATAATTGAAAGGAAAGGGCTTGTTGTTTTTGGTATTGCTGTCGCTAACTATCTTGATCATGGTATAGTTATCTTCGTCGAAGGAAATACAGTCCTGCCCATTAATCCAAACCCTTATTCTATTCGATGTTCTTCCTTACAACCACCCATTTAACATCCACCATCCTTTATTTCTTCCGTTCAGACTCACACTAAAAGTTATACCACTTTCTGCCTATTCTCAGTTTTACCACTGTTTGTAATTCTATAAACCATCCTAGTTTGCCATTATCCCTTGTTGTTTTTCTTTCGTATTCTACACAAAAAAACAACAACAAAAAAAAGCTTGATTGTACTGTTGATATGACCCATCCAACAATCACACTGTCTCTTTAACTTACGGGATAAGACATACTCGTCGCATTAAATTTTTGATGCTGAGACACATTGTAATCGATTAAAGTAGCGCCTCCTCGTTCTTTTTCTCTCCTACTTAACACAACACAATGGAAAAAGAAGCACTCAATCGAAAAGAACGTCTAGCAGCATTACGAAAACGGAAAACAGGATCTGAATCAAATCAAGCTGCTGAAACAGCCGAAAAGTAAACTACAGTCTTGATAATATACGCGATCCAAAATAAAAGAACGGGTAAATATTCACGTTTAAATAGGAATCTGTCATTTCGAAGCTATACACCAACCGATGAAAACTTGAAACAACACACAAACGTTGCAACCCCATCCGACATTGGCGAAACAGTTGAATCCGAAACCAAAGATTACACAAAGAAGGCATTAGCAGCAGCTGCCGAACAAGATAAGGAAGAAGTGGTAGGATGTGTTCTTGATCGATTAGTATTTGGCGGTTGGTAATACTCATCAAACCGACACTAATTATCTTGTTATCAATAGGACCTATTCAATTTGCAACCAAAAAAACCAAACTGGGATCTAAAACGCGACGTACAGAAAAAGTTGGACAAGTTGGATAGAAAGACACAAAGAGCTATTCTCGAAATTATACGTAAGTGTCAACCACTGATATAAAGTATTGGTAAAACTTCCAAACACGCGTGCACATCTGGTGTATGAAATGGAAGGATTCAAGAGAGAAATAGAATACAGCTAACCACTCTTTCTGGCTGCGTAATATAGGCGAACGTCTGGTGAACGAAGGGGATAAAGAGGGAAATCTTGCAGATGCCGTTGCAAACGCAGAAAAACAACAAAAACTCGACGTAGAGGACGATTAGAATGGAGCCTTCGGTTGGATAATAAAATGCTCTGGTTCTTTTTTGTTCCTTTTTCCACATAAGATGGGTTGTTTCGAGATTCGAATTTATCTTGGCAGATTACTGTATGTACATACATTTCAGCAGCAAGGAAAGGAAGCGGGAAGCAGAGCGCGAATCACATATTGGGCATGGAGGTTGTCTGTTGTCGAGTAACGAATTTAAGTGTACTACGAACAGAGAGGGAAAATAAAGAAAGGAAGAAATTTACTAGTGGTTTTCAAATGAAGCTGTCAAGAATGTAGTAGTGATAAAAGAATGGTATCTGTGGAGTGATGTAGAGTAATAGAGAAAGACGGCGTGGTTATGCTGCAGGTTCGAATAGGTGATTGATCATCTTTTCCAGTTTGTCCTTGTCATATCGAATATATTTGGCAGGGTTCTTGGTAAAGTCAGTGCTTTGATATCTAGTTAGAAGATAGGGTAATGTAGGTGACCACATCGTCAGTAAACAGTTTTACATCAACCCGGATTAATGAAAGTAAACTTACTTATCAAGGAATCGGCCATACATTGGCACTAAGACATTCTTTACATCACGAATAACTTGGTTACGTAACTCTGAGTCCGGTACCGCATATGTTGTTTGTGCTCGCCAAATTTCATCGAACTCGGTGTTGAAGTTCTATTTTAAAGAGATTTTTTTTAACCACGGCACGTCCTTCTTTTCACTCGAGAAATTGATTATTAGAGAAGGAAAAAGGACTCAATCTTACCTTGAATCGTTCCTTGACAAGCTGACGCTCGCCACTTCCCATGGAATTCTTGATTGCGCCTCCTCGAACATAAGTGACATCCATCAAATTCTCTACACATGGCTTCCATGATTCTTGGTAGGTATCCAGCTGCTTCTTGACCAATTTGCTGAATTTGAGTTCGGATACTTCGTCAAAGATGGCATTAAGTGGCGGTGATCGGATTTGTCGTAAGATATGGTTGTAGTTGTTGAGTAAAAAGACGGTAGCCAAAGCAGGTTTCTTGTATCCACGCGATATCCTTTGTAGGGATACTGTCAACTGATCCAAAGCATCATCTGGAATTGATAAGGAAATAATCGTCAAGTTAGCAAGCAGGTTCTCTTTCTGAAATGTGATTATAGTAATCGACATACCAAAGAAGCTTTGCAATAATGCTGTTCCTTTGGGCGTTTCACCATACGCAAATGACTTTTCTGGAATTGCAGTGATAGGTCCAGGGTGGTTCCAGCCACCGTCACCGAGCAGCAACAATAGGGGTTCCACAATTTCGCGCCACAGGTACAGGCGTTTCAAGTAGTTCAAGGTCTAGTATCATCATCACCAAGGCATAAAAAGGACGGATTAGTAAACGATATCGTTACAAAATATATCGGCCTCATTAAAACATATATACAGGTACGATACATACATTACTGGTCATTTCATGCACGGTACCATCACTGCTCATGTTCATGAACGCATTATTTTCGCGCTTGCCCTTGACGTCCTCGGAAAAGTCATGGAAGCTCTTGAGCGCTGTCAACTTGAACGTCGAAATCATTTCAGTGCAATCGCTCAAATCAATTTCTTGTGATAACTCCTTGAGAATCGGAGCACAGTCGCGTTCGTATTTTTCCATAATATCGAATATGAAAATGGTGTCAAAATAGTTTAACCGTTTAGCAACCACGTTCAAATGTCGCCCGGCCGAGATAAACTCTTGCAGGGCAGGTGCTATGCTTCCTTTCAAAGCAGTACTTCTTTGAGATCGGTTGCTGAGAATTTTGCCAGCAAATTGTTGCTCTGCCTAAATAAAAAAAAATTGTCCCTTCTTTTCAATATAACGACCTCCCATCACAGTAGAATATGAGTATCTTCTCCGCTCATTTCCCTTTGATTTTAAGTACCTGAATAGCCTTTGTAAAGCATTCCATGTATTTGAGAAATTCCCCAGAACCCTTTTCGTATGAAATGCCCTGGTGACGTTCAGACACTTGGACCGATTGCGACAGTGAGTGTAAGGATTTGAGTAGGTAGTTGGAACGAATTTCGATGTATGGTTTGCTGAAGTCAACGGTGTATCCAATTTCTTTTTCAGACGTTGCAATGTAGGTCGAGAGTTGAGAAAGCTGCTTTAACGAATCGTTGGGTAATGGCTCTAATAATAAATGGTGCGAGGAGGACATCAGTAAGCAGGTCTTTCTTTCTACTGGCCCTCATTTTTAACATAGAAAAAGCAAACTCGATGACGTTACTTGGATTAAGGATATCGTCGCTATTCACGACCGTGCTGACAGATGATAACCATTTACGGAACAGTGTCTCCAGATGCAACATACCGGCTTTTAATAATTGTTTCTATGTAACCATCACGTAGTCAGCAAAGAAGTACTCAGGAATATTATCTTTTGCCTAAATGAACTTACTGTCTGATTTACAGCCTTCTCGCATGACTTCAACTGATTCCGCTCGACAGTATCCACAGCATCCTTCAATGCACCCATTGTTTGGAGATAAGGGAGAACATTATGCTCATCAGGTCTAGAGCAGGAAAGAAGCGTTCAAAGGGAGCAATAATGAGTGATGTGTATCTCACTTTCGTCAGCAGTTACTTACCCTTTCAGAATGAAGGCTTCTTCTTTGCTGGGAAGGTTCAAGCAGTTTACAATATTGTCGGTGGCATTTAATGCACGATCAATATCTACGGAAGCATATATTTAAAAAAAACAGGCTCTCTGTGAAATCTCTCTATCAGGCTCTCTGCCGGCAAACCCCCTATATACGTTCTATATAGAATATCACCACTCACTTGACGCCAACTTTGTTAGGTTTTGAGTCGATTTATGTATTGGTCGTATCGATGCTTCTAACTTCATCAAGCGACCGTCGAAACCATCGAGTATCCCAATCTAAGTTCGCAAAAAAGAAGATCGACGATTCAGAGTCAGATACAATGATTATTTGACAGATCGTCGAAAGAAAAAAGTTACTGGCGTACCAATTCGTCCGAAAGACCATCCATTCGACTGAGTTGGTTCTGTAAGTAGTCGAGTTCGCCAGTGTCATCTTCGATACGATTCAAGTTTTTCTTGCCATGACTAATGGAGACACATTTATAACGCTTGATTATTTGTGCGAGACTCTTTGAATTGATAAAAAGAAAGGAATTATGTAACCTTACCTTTGAAGTGTCTTGCCTGGCATAGTTTTCAATTTTGTTGCAATAAGAAAAGGGCGCAATCGGGCAACTGGGGAAAATGCATTTTACACGTGTCTGCCATTGTTACACAAACCTTGACTTTTGAAACCACCGGTGAATAATGCATACGTGTGGGGTCACATGAATGGTGGTAAAGTCAAAAGAAGTATCATAGGTAAAATTAAAAAAGGCATTGGTGCAAGAATAGTAGCATAACGAAATTGTGGCCTATAGAATAAAAAAAAATGTTTACGTGGTAGCAATATGAACGGAGGTATAGAAAGATAATGTTTGTGCGGGAGAGACAGCTTCTTGTGAGGGATTTATCGGGTCGAGACATATGAGACTATAACTTGGGATGTGGAACAGATACGGAATGCTATAACAGAAAGGGTACTTGTCGGGGAAAACGGCATGGATAGGAGGGACTTGGTACGAGGTACTGTATGATGGAATAAGCAAGACGGACAATAAGTAATACGGGAATGATGTGGGTGCAGGTGTAGCGTGGGATCACCAGAGCATACAAAAACGTGGAATGCGTGATGGGAGCAGGTAGTCCGGGGAATAGGTACGATATATGATACAGAAGATAGAAAATGTATGTCAATAAAATACAAATCGAGGGAAACATATTAAATTCAAAGATATGAGTATGTTGTCGGCGGTTTCAAAGGAAGAGGAGCCACAATTGGTTGAGACAAATTAAAGCATAGATGGTTGAGGATCGAGTAGATGTAGAGGAGAAAGTTGTTTAAGGGCATCATATATTTGAAGTAGTCTTCTCTACTGATAGCTTGCCACTCTTTAGCCAGTATGGTACTCGTGATGATGATGGAAAAGAGTCACCTTCAAAGAGCGAACATAATGTATGTATCCGTAGTAGCACATATACTTCAGCGATCATCTCTCGTTCTAGTCGCTGTCATTGTTATATGTATTTTTATCGATCAAGTGGACCACGCCACCCTTGCTGTATATGCTAAATGCACACTCACTTCTCCATGAATGCACCGCAGCTCAAACAAATGCTGATAGATATATTGAATTAAATATCAGCAGTAGTGCTTGTACATATACTTGACGTTGCACATTGACGTTTCAAAGCTGATACGATGCATGAGGAGCAGACTAAACACGCGGCACGCATGACGTGTCTGTGCTCATCTGTCAAAATAAAGCTGAGCTCGAATTACAGACGACCGTGGATGGTTGACTTTTCCTTTCTCTCTTTCTCTCTCTTTTTCCTGTTTCATTCTAACAGAAAAGATCATGGACCGCCACAACAGCTCAGGTGATATTCGTGAAATGTACATATCACGAACTCTTGTTCTCTCAGATAATATGTACACAATAGCACGATTATCGACCGTGTTTATCAGTAAATGAATGCTGACGACAATGGTACAATGGCTGTGTACTTTTTTTTTCAGTGACAATCAGTTGGGTTCGATTAATCTGCAAACGGTCATCGCTTCACAAGAGCTACGCGAGCAAAGGCGCTTGTACTATGCGCGCCAGTAAGTTGCTTCTTCATTAATATGAGTACGAAAATGGTCTATATGCGCAGCAGTGATAGTACGATGATGAATTAAGCCTTTTTGCACCTTCTTTTCATAGCGCAGAGATCCCGAATGCCATCAGTAATTTTCAGCAAGAAATTAGAGACTTTCTGAATGAAGTGGTCAGCACCTTTCCAGTCAATGAGGACAAAGCTGAAAAGAGTAAGAAACCATTTTCAATGTTGAAAAAGGCATTACGGATAGTGAGAGGGACTAACACAAATTATATAACTTGCTATAGTTCTGTGGCTCATCGACGACGGTGCTTACAAACTCATGGAGTATTTGCGTTGCATCGATCAAAATATGTAAGCCACGTTTCTTTCTTCTTTTCCTTCAGGCTAATCAATCTTTATTACAAAGAACGATATTATTTTGAGTTGGTATAAACTAGTAACCATCACATCTATTTTCTTAACAAAAAGCATGGATATAGGAGGCGATGAAAAGACTTCTTTGGAAGAAGAAAGCGAGGCCGGAGTCATGAGGTACGATGTATGGTAAAAAAAAGTTGGGATGATTCTTCTTTTTTTTACTAAATTGTATAAACCAGTGAAGCAAACACTTTGCTAAAGGTGATTCAGTACGAGATTGACACCCTCCATCTTCGTTTGCAAAGGCTCAAATCTCAAAAGCAAGAATTGGAACGATTGACTGCTGAACAAACAGCTACAGAACAACCTACTACTGATCAATAGCCGTCAAGAATAATGAAGAGTGCACATAGTAGCTTTAAAACATGACTAGCTCATATTACATACTATCATCTATGATCACAGACAGCACCTCTACTACAGTACCCCAAAATTGTATATTGCTTTTACACATAAAATATTAAAGAGCTACTAAGTAAAATATCTTATCAGCTAATAGCAACGAGCGATCTCCTAGTGATGGTGGCTGCTAGATTAAACTGAAGGTGTTTGGCTTGATAATCGAGACGGCACTACTTTACTACTACGTGATTTGAATGATTAGCAGTCTTGCTGCTGTTGTTTCCATACATACCCTGTCATCAATTACTGCCATATTATACAGCGAAAAGAAGAAGAGGAACGGAAAAATGAAACAAAAACACATGTGCATACAAAAAGAGCCAGCTTTGTTATTATGTTAAATATAAAGATATATCCACAGCATGTCCTGATGCTGTAAATAGTTATGATATACGACGGTGATAGCACTGCTAGTGTAATTAAGGATATTGATGTTTTCGTCGGGCTTGCTAAATATATACGTAAATACAAACATAGCGATTCCATTTGACTCGAAAACGTTTTTGGAACGAACAGACTATATGTGCTATTCCTAATATCATATGACATGTTTCCAAATCGGTTCGAATGCAATGGACGGGATATGTGCTTTTCATTACGTAACAGCGCAGTTGATGTTAGGCCAGAATATTGGTGTTGACATATGGCTTTTATTGTCGTTGGCGTCGTCTTGGTTGATTAAAGTCATGAAACCCAAAGAAAGAACAGTGTTGCTGGAAACGTGATGCGGGTATGTGTATGAGAGTAGTGATCTTGGTCGATGCGTGATGGATTCCGTGTGTGTGCGTATGTCATATCAGAGTCCGTCCGTTCGTCAGTTGTTAGTTTTCGGTATTTGGTGGGTAGAGGCCGGAAAGAGAGCTTGTTGATGGTGGAAGAGAACATTCGTTGTGTTATATTGTCGTCAAGAATTTCAAGATCGTGGAGCAGATTCAGAAGCAGCTTCACTCGAAATTACTGTCGTCTGTCCAAAAAATATCGTCAAACTCTGTCAACAGTAAGCTGAAAACGCTGGTCGGGATGCTGAGTGTTGCTGAGAAAACGATACCGACATTTCGTACGGTCATTTTATTTGCGCCGGCGTTTTGTACGACTCGGATAAGATGAGCGCATAGTAACCGAAGGAGTGTGTAGTTTGCCAAAGGAAGCAAGGATATAATCCTTCCCAATTCGGTGACGCGTTCACGGCGATCAGGAAGATTGTCAACGTTTTCCATAATCTTTTTAAGCAAATCCGTCGTTAAAATGTTATCAGGTAGTTCTCGAAACCACATTTTAAGCAAGCTGGATACAACATGAGCATCGTAGGTTTCTTCGCCGGCTAGCAGATCGACATCCCCCTCTGCTCATCACCGTTTAAATATAAAGCATTGAGCAAGCAAGGAACGTATATGAGCACGATATTATATAGAAGATGTACATGATAATAAACTCAGCGCTAGCATGAATGAATGTTACCTTTGTTAAATTTGGCCTTGAGCGCTCGGATCTTGGCGGCACTTCCACTGCGACGGTAAATACCTTCTTCTTTGATCGAATTTTTGGCCTCTAAATAGTCGATGCAACGATAAACAATAGCGGGCAGCTCATATCTCTCTGAAATTTTGGCCACCTTGATCGCCTCTTCGAGTGGAGCGCCAAACACTTGATTGGGCTCTCGTGTATGATCCTCGGTCGGTGGCGCTGTATAAGAGACATCATTGTTTTTGTTTTTATCTTGTTGACTTCTAAGGCTGCTCGATGGTTTAAGACTGATTTCTTTTGTAACATTGCTGCTGGAACTTGAAAACACCTTTTTAAACCATGGTACGCGTTTACTACTTGGTGTCTTGCTGGAGGTGTCGTCTTCCTTACTGTTACTAGTAGTGAAAGGAGATGAAGGGCTGGCAGTACTGCTATTGGTCTTTTGTAATTTTTCAATGTAGCTCACGGAATGGCGTTTCAGCGTTGCTGCATGATTATTTGGCCCCGAAATGAACGTTGGAAGACTCGACCGTCGACGGTTTGCTCGTATGTTATCATTGTTGTTGTTGTTATTGTTGATAATGATGTTGCCGATATCTGCCTTTGTTGGTGAAACTTTTCGGTTACTCTTTTTCCGACTGATTATACCGTTTGTAATGTACTTGGATGCTGCGCTGTGGTCAATATGCTGCATCAAAGCTTCAATCCATGCATCGCGATTCTCATCCGTGTCTGCACAAAGTACATGTCGGGCAATGCCCCCTGGAGCCGATCTCTTGGGCTCAAGGATCAACAGGGCATGTTGGAAAACTGGCGCGTCTTTGCTGGCTACTTCTGAAGAAGAGGGCGGCGGCGATATTTGTCTTGCGATTCGTGCCTCAGTTAGATGGATCTTGCCAAGGTATTCGCCTAGCTCCTATATGCATTAATACAAGCAATAGCTTCTGTTATTGGAAGTGTACATGAAGATTACTATTATATATATGTTGAGACACGAGATATAGATAATGCTGCAAGTGGCTTCGTCGTTTGTTGAAGGGATTGTTACATACATCTTCATAGTATTTTAAATCAGGTCCGTCTAGTACATAGAATCGCTTCTTCCAGCATCCAAAATTCTTGCCACGCTTTCGTAGATATCCTTGCCGGTATCTGGACACCTAAAAGAAGGTTATAGAACCAAATTAGGTACATATTTAGGTTAGGACAACATGTTTTTGAGACAGAAAAGATAACCCACAATGAAGAAGATAGATTAGATTTTTTTTTGGTCTACTCTCTTATTGTTATGGGTGTCTCTTACCCTTGTTTGAGATTCATCCTCTTCTTTAGTTATATTGGAGCTCAAGAACTCACAAATGTCTGTTGAATCCGGTAGGGGCAGTTCAATCACACGTTTCAGGTAATTCTCGATGCCCAACTGGTAGTTATAAGCGCATTATAACGTTAGATTTTCGAAGTCGTACAGTAGATAAAAAGCAGATAGAGATACCAAAAGATGTACCTTGCGTTGATCCACCCTTCTCGGGCCATGGGTCACGAAAAGTCCTTTATCAGGGAGCTTCGGAAATTCGTATTCCTTCAAGTATTTTGCCTCTGCCTTGAGCTTAAAAAAATTATGACAACGCGCGACCGTCAAGTTTAAGCTTCCAAATGACCGTAGTAGTGATTTCGCCAGCTGTTATGTACACATACCTGTGCATCGAGCGCTAGGAAATCTGGGTATAGTTTCTTAATTTGCCATAGCTCTTTTGAATTTGAGTCAGAGTCAGAAGGATCCTGAACATTGCGCACAGAAATGGTGAATGTGACGATTTTCTTGCCCTTGTCATTAGTAATGACGTTAGAGTCGACGACTTTAGCACGCAGGTTAGCCATAAGAAAGAAATAATAAATAGTGGAGGGAGAAGAAATGAATGGAAAGAGACAGGGAGGAAAAAAAAAATGACTGTTTATGGCGTTGTTGTTCCTGAGTTGTGTGTGTAGCGATTAATAAATGTGATATTAAATTTATTATTGATCGCTCTCTCTCCAGGTGGCGTTGTTTGTCTGCCGTCCTCCCCTCTCCTTGCTAGGCCTCTGTCGCACTAGCTGTTTCCTTTGTTATCACCTTTGTACTGGGGTTGTTACATGCAAACACATGAGCAAACCAATTATAGATGCTATTCACACTCTTTACATGAATGTCTTCAAATAAAACGATGGATTACTGCAGTGTACAGTCACTCAATATGATATGTCGAATCTCAACCGTGAAATGTGTTTACAACCGCTGCTGGAAGGTAACTATGTAGAAAGATCGAAAAACATCAACAGAGACAGAGAGATAGTACAAATATTCTGTGATACAGGTTTTAATTTTGTCGTGGCGGGTAGCACATAATCATCCTGTGATACTTGCGTGCAATATGAGCTTATTACAACCTGTTGGAAAAAAAGATCTACCACTTACCACTTTTAGCGCTGCCGAGGTTTTGGGACCTTTTTGTTTGTCATTTCTGAACACAAAAATCCAGATTTGCTTTTTTAATTAAATATATCGATCTTTGAAAAATCAGAAAAATGATATACTTCTAGCAAACAGTCTGGATAGGGCGCAGGCCCTGTTTGACTCGTTCAAGGCAGGTAACTTCTATCCAAGAGGTTGTCGGTTCGAATCCGGCTGTTTGTTGTCCCTCGCTGCTGTCCTAATGTGGGTTGTCACTTCGTGGCATGGTCCTCCCTGGTGCTCTTGATTGGTCCGTAGTTAAAACACAACGGTGTGTCTTAGTCGCTTCATCCTGTACACTATGTATCTTTAACGTTATTGGCAGTTACTGATAATTGCACACTTTAATAAACTTGTCCCCGACCGGGGACTTCCCCTACAAAGAAAAACAGTCTGGATAAAGAAAGTTCTCTGTAACCAAGCGTGATACTTTCACATATCACGACTATTTATAGAAACTTTAATTAGCGTATGCAAATAAGGTTTTTCCACCTGCATTCTTAGAAACAAAGTGTGCGAGACATGAACTGCAATAATGATTAAGCGACCATGATTAAAAGCCCACCACACAACACGCAGTAATTTTAAAGAAACAACTTCTATAATGGAAGCCACATATCCCAAAGAAAGATGGTTACGCTTAAAGTGACCGTTAATTGCTCTGTTGATATTACTAGTGATGCATGATGTGCAAAGTATAGCAGTAATCAGGAGTAATAAGACGGAAAACTGCAAAAATTAGTACTTTAGGTGTCTGTCATTATTTTTGTTTTTTCTTCGTTTCTTAACTAGCCATACCACGCATGATACAATATATTTAAAACTAGACGTTGAGGTGATAACTTACCTTAAAATCAAATGAATTTCTGGTACGACGGCTACTTTGATGACCCGGAATAACTTGACCCTGAAGCATCGTTATCATACGGGTGCTTGACCAATATTATCTAATGTCAATGCAAATGGTAAGCCTCGTGATGACGCCAAATGCCGATGATGATGGTTTATTGAATATTTTGGATAAAGCTCTTAGCACTTTTTTCACCGACATGGAAGCTTGTTCGTGCTGCCTTTCTAGTTTGTGATCAATCTCTTGTTCTTCGCTTTGGACGTCAACCACGACACAGTTGGATCCCTTGAGTCATATTGGGTAAAACTGATATTGTTATATGATGACGATAACGACGAAAAGGGCAAAGAGGATCCTTTTATGATATAAGGGCACCATTGCCACTACCATTAGTGGCTGTTGTTGTTGCCGTGGTTGCTGGAGTAACTGTTGTCACTTCAGGATTGCCACTCTACCACAAAGCATTGATTAGCAACAGTGGCGTGCACGTACTTCGTGATAGAAACAAAAGCTGAATGAATTCATCATTGATACTGACAAAAAAAGATATCAAAGACGGTGCGGTGGAAAAGCAATGATAGCAGTGAGGATGATGAAGCTCTGGGGTATCCGCCATAATGACAGCAGCAGCGATAATAGCATATCAAGAAAGTTAGCCATTACTATAATGAAGTGACTTATACTGATTATCATAATAATACGAAGTCGCCAATAATAGCCAGCATATATTTTGAGTACTGTACAATCCGCTTTAAGAAGGGTGCCTACAATATTCTGGTAAATATGAGATAGGCGTTGTAGCGATATAAGATTTTAATAAAAGACGCCTTTTTTAAAAAAAACCGTAATCCATTTTTTTTGTGAACAGATCAATTTTATAGACCGATATGGCAGTAGAGCGATTGATTTCTATCTGCTATTTCCTCGAGGAGGGTTATTGTTGGCATTTCGCCATTTGCGGGATCCGAGCGCTGTCGTAGTGGAGATAATAATAGTTGCACCCAACACGCTCATCCAGTCTGGATACTCGCTAAATATACATATACCAAATAAGAAAGCCAATACAATTTCGTTCATGCGCATTACAGAAGCAGGACCTGCAGGAGCCATTTGTAACCTATTGTAAGTTTATACACAGTAAAAATTAGAATTAAGAAATCCCCAATATTTTTTATGTAATCAGAGCAATATAAGCGAACATACCCTTTACTGAGTAAACATTGACCGATGAACGCACTGATACCGGTCATCAAAAGCATGGCATATTGACGCCAGCCTTCTGGTAAAACAGGCGATTGGACTGTACGCAAAGCGGGGATACTCATCAAGCTTGCGACAACACCAAAATAGAACGTGTGAACCAAGAAATGGGCAGCTTTTCCAACTTTTCGGATAGTACAATATGCTACAGCGGTCAGGATGGCCCCTGTTACTGCCGCAAGCACAGCCAATGTTCGTTCCTCATTACCCTGGCCGTGATCTGAGGCAGAACCGTTTCCGAACAAAAACTCGGGCTTTGATACAAACACGGCACCAGTTAGGCATAGCGTAACGCAGATGCCCTCGAACCAGCGAAATGGTTCACCCAGTACCAAAGCAGCGAGAATAGCTGTAAATGCTGGGTTGAGGTACATGATGACTAATAACAACATATAGCCATCATACGAAGGAAAAAGTAATTGTATTACTTTGTTAGTCGAGCTGGATTCTTATACGTTACTGCAGTGATAGTAGTTACAGCAACAAACCTGTTGCGTCTGCAAGTGGCAAGTGCGTCACGCTGTAGAAGTTTACAGCCAAGGCAAGTCCACCAATGACTCCACGAAACACGAGCCAGGGACGTATACGGCGGTTTCCAAATGGATTGATGCCGATGTAGGCACAGCCAGCAAGGCCTAACGCTGTTTGGACCACAGAACGGAAAAGCACGATTTCAAACGATGGGAATGAGGCACCACTAAGCTTTACGAAAAGGGTCATGGATGAGAATGCCAATGCGCAGAGTGCCATTAATGTTAAACCAATGACTTCCGATTTGGCATCGCGATTGGTTGTAGTAGATGTGGGACGTGAAGACGCTGTTGTTGGTAAAAGTGGACTTCGTTCATCATGTTGTTCTTCTTGATAGTGGTGGTCGTTTACGGCATTAAATTTATTGCTATCTTGTTCCTCCTCTTCCTCACTGTTGTCGGTCGGTCGCGACATTGTATAAAATATCACGATAAAAAGGAAGATCAAAAAATCCTTTTAGGGAATACAGAGATGAAAGATTGAGTTTTGTGCGCGCGCTTCTTCACGGGTCTGCTGTCTGCTGATGGAACGGCATCGCCAGCACTACTGCAGGATACGCCAATATATGCAGCTTGACGATTTGATGTACAAAGAAGTGTAAAAAAACATTGAAAATATAAATATAAAAAAACGTTTTAGTTATTTGTCGCACAAAAGCCTTCAAGGCAAACAGGGTTCCTTTTACGACATCACGATGACACACTTTACGAACGCAGTGAAAACAAACATACAAAAGATATATGTAATTTCTGCTTTGCTGCATGGGATACTCAAAAGAGGTTTACACATACACCGAGTATCTCCATGTCTCCCGGTTCGTGCCTCGTCTGCATTACACCCAGATTTCACCTTGGGACTGAGCTCCGCACCTTTTGCAGGTACCTTTTTTGTGTAGACGATGATTTATTGAAATACCTTTGTTGTCGGTATTTATAATGTCAGAAAAGAGGGTTGACAAACGCACTATGAAAAAGTACTGATTTCAATGTAATGCGGGCTGCTACACCGTCGGGCCAGAAGGTTGATCCTTGAAACACTTGATGCCAATGGGAGTTGCATATGTGGAGTATTGTAGTGGCGATGATACATATGAACTCTGGTTTGACCGTGAGCGGGAAGGTGTTGAGAGACCTACTGTAATGTGATCACACGTCAAAGACTCATGGTCGACAAGGAAGCGCTTTGCAGGTACCGCTATACTCGCACGGATAAACTGAAGAACCGGATATGTTGTCATGATCCCCTTCTAACAACATAGCAATCGTTGCCATCGTTACTTTACCTCACATGCAGCTGCAGAACCCCCATGCGTAGCTCATATAGCTTTCTCTATGTATTTAATATCAAAACACACCTCCCCTGAACCAACCCTGGCTAGCAGTACCTCCGCCTCTTGTGTGCCCTCTGTGAGTATACTTCAATCCACTTCTTGCACGATTAACCATCATCTTCTCGTTAGTGCATACTGATGAGTTGACAGCTAATTTCGCATTAGTAGTCACTACCACAATTAGAGGAATCTCCTATTCCATCATTTTCTCTCTTTCTTCCCTGTGTATTTCGTTCGTCTACTTTACACTGTAAACCGTCAATCAGTAGCATTGGTGCATATTATATCTGTTGTCTCGGCCCCAATTCTACCACTGACACAATAAAACAGACAGTTATTTTGAGACAATTCAAGTCTACACACATCAGCACTTTAAGCGTAAGTGGAGAAGCGTAAGTGAGAGGCGTACCCATACACTCTGTTTTTCCGCCTGATACAAAGTGTATGTAAATGTGAATACATATTTTGGTGTTGTCCCACTCGAACAGTCGCATGTGGTGCTGGCTATTCCTAAATATCTATATTTGTATTTGTTCGTTGCTTTTGTTCTCACCCCTGTACAAACTGCTGCTACCCGTGTCAGTAAACTCGGTAATACATCATTGGCTTGAGACCGTGATCCGACAAACGATCAGGATCTAAGCAATTCTTCCAACCACCTTGCGTTTCTCGGGGAGCGTTCAACTTTTCTGGAGCATACACGTTTGCGCTTCTATATATTCAGTCTTCAGCGTTCAACTTTCCAGGAATTGTTCAATATCAGTATATTAAAACGCGTCGCGATTTGAGACGAACAGCTCATACACGATGGTGAAATAGTCAAGTAATTCGGTTGTTGACATCATGCATACAAACAATGACTTCCCATGCTCGAGCAAGGGGCCTAAAAAAAATTAGACACTCTTACAAGCGAGTCAGTCACATCTCTCGATTACGAATCTATGCTGAGCAATTTTGCATTTGACTTGTTTATATCTGAGAGCACTGACGTTGTGACCATATAGCCTGGGACCAGAGCTTTAGTAAGAATGCTATCAGCGTAAAAAAAAGAAGGGAAAGTGGTGGCACGAGCATGTTGTTGAAAAAAAGATCCGGATAGCGACTGCCATTTCTCCTTCTTCTCGACCATCATCCTTCAATAATAAAAGCATTCTTGTAGATATAACTTGGTTTTACGTCGCCATTTCTGTGGCTGCTTACAAATGAGAATACAGTCGTAAGCGGAGGAGATGAGATGACTCGGTTGTTGCGCGCTTAATACAATTGACAGATGAAGAATTATATATTCGTAAGCAAAATCACGCGTATAATAATATTATTACATCGTTTACTCATACATTCTTCAATACCTTGTGCCACGCCAACTCTTACCAGCAAAAGTAAGCTGACTGATGCAATTGGCAATCTGCATTGTATATGTTAATAGCATGATGTGCCATATAAATTATTCATGGAGGTTACGCGACAGAGATAATGCGAGGATGATAACTAAAATGATGAAAGGGTCATTTTTCGCCTGTAAGCACGAGGGAGAAGTAACGCAAGCTCAAACGCTACTGACAAGGTTTTTTGAAACCGGAGAATAGCGGGAAAAAAGGCATCCTACTTGCAATACCAACGCGTTATAAAATATCGTATAAGCCTTTTTAAACCAAGCTTTGACAACGCGAATCCGCAGCAGTCGGTCAAGCTTGAAGTCAAGCGTGTCTCACTTGCTGCCGTTGATGGCCATTTGTTTCAAACGGATCTTGCATCACAGAAAAGAAAAACACAGACGCAGCCTCGTTTCTTTCTTTTAAGAACCGTCGACACTATCTTAAATGCACTACCACGCCACGCAAAAAGGCTCACTCGGGATATTGATACCTGCAGCCATCCTGGTTACAGATTTGAACCTGAACCAGATCCACGGCTTGTTCTTGCACAATTCTCTCCCTCAACCTCGAGCTAGTGATTTATCCTGGTCCCCAACACCCATCTCTCTCTCTACTCTCTACCTGTTGTCTCTGGTAAAGCCTATGTATATTTTATTTATTTTTTCTTCTCTTTGTAATATTTAAGCATCATTTACCCTCGCTTCATCAGCTTCCCACAACCAGGTTTTTCTTCCCCCGAGGGGTTTCCCGCATGTCTCTCCCCCTTATATCAGCTATAGTGGTTCCCTGTTTAAGTTCAGCCTCAACGGGGATCTATAAAGTGCTGAAACTACTGAGGGTGCTACATACTATAAGGGGGTATAGAAAAAAATTGAGATAACTGAGGGTTTATCTTGTTGAGTGTGAAATTAGACGGGGAACCACTGTATATATTCATATTCCTTAGATTTATAATTGCTGGCAAATTGCCTATCATAAAGGATGTTGCCACTTTGCCATCTTCACCTAAATGCTGTTTGAACTGCAAAAGACGGAGTCTGGCTGTAGGTGAACTGAGTATATGTGGCGATGATGCGATCATCGAAACACAGCCCATATCTGCATATGCACAGCTATACTTTGAGGAGAAAACACGGTACATGTGCTGCATAGATGCACTCGTGCATAATGCTCCTCGTTTCCACATATACGACGCAGAATACAGAGAAGGCATTAGACTTCTTTTCCAAAAATTTATTAGCTGTCAGCACATTTAGAATAATAGTATTTATATTATAATTGGGTAATGAGCTGTCAAGCTAATAGGTAGTATGTAGTGTTACTATTTCGTCAACTTTTTCTATATTGATATATAGCCAGATGTGCTCAATTGATAATCCTTGTGTGGCGTAACAAGGTGGGCTAGGCTTGATTTAACGCATAGGGTTTTTATTTCTATATCATATGCAGCATAATCTACAGATGGCGTTACAGTTCCTAGCCCCTTTACATTGAAGAGGTAGATTGACAGTCAGTCTTTTAGTATAAAAGGTTCGCTTTTCTACAGAACTTGCTCTATATCAAATAGTTTTGTGATCCTCACTCAATTGTAAGTCATCTTTTCTTTATTTCACTACTATGCACCTTCATGTTTATTCAACTAACCATTGACATGTACACGCTTATAGTAAACAAGACGAACATGGTTCAAATTTTCTCTCTCCAACGCCTTTCTCTTTCCGTGGTTTTGGCCTCGATGCTGGCTTCCGTGCTGGTTTCTGCTGATGATGGTGCCTTTTGCTATGCTTCTAATGAATTTTGTCTTCCTGGTGGTCCAATTTCTTGCTGCTCCGGCACATGCGAATGGAATACGTTGTTCGAAAGATATGCATGCACGTAATCGGCATCATGAGTGAAATGCAAAGATGAATGTTTTGCGCGCTTAAACTTTCTTGCGCACATTTTCATGAATAAAGTGGTTTTAAAATGTCCAAAATCAGCTTACATAACTCATTATGGTGCAAGACAGCTACAACCAGCCAAATTTAGGGCCAACTTATAAAAAGTATCTAGTCACCTAAAGTTGACGATATTAAATTTTTATTGCGTTAAAAACGTTATTTCGATGGAGGAGAATAATTTTAACGCAGCCGATTTTTGTTTAAAGCAACACAGCCCAAGAAGAAGGACTTCAAAGTCGGGATATGCTTATAAGTGCAGCCCAGATTTGGCCGGCCGGCAATATTACCTATAGCCAATAAAATCACATAAAACAGCCAAAGTGACTGTTTATATAGTGGTAAACTATGATCCGGTATAGACTGATGTCTTTCTCTTCTGTGTTTTAGGATCTATAAGAGACACGATTGTGCACATCGTACTAAGCGAGAGGTGTAGAAACGATGCAATTACCCATTCAAAAGCTTGCAAGTGACTGTACCAAAAGTTCTTGATGAATTCATTTTCATTAAGACCAAGGCTATGTGTGTCCTGAAGATACTCATGTTGTGGCGTACTGTCTCTTAGTGGGTAGATGATAAGCATCTTTCGCACTGTATACTGTCTTTATTTAATCTATTCAGAATTTGTATCATAATACTTGTTTTACATTTTGGCATTGGATTTCTTGGCCCTCCACTCTCGGTCTGTCGCCCATGTCTTGATAAGCTGGTGTGCAATAGCAGTGCCTGGTGGCATCGTGAACTTTGCTCCTGGTTCTTGGTTTATTGCTGCGAGCACCTCGGCACGGGTAAACCAAACTGCTGCTTCTAGCTCCTTATCCTCCAACTTGATATCAGTTGTTACAGCCTCAGCAATGAATCCGAACATCAAGGAGTTGGGGAAAGGCTAATATATAGCCAATGCCATTGTCAGTACTTTTACACATAAATCTTCAACTATTCCCGATATGGATTACTGTGATATTCTTACCCAAGGTTGACTGCTATGATAAAGCACGCGATTCACCTTGACACCTGCTTCCTCGTATGCTTCACGACGCACTGCCTCTTCAATGGATTCGCCCGCTTCGACAAAGCCTAGCAACCAGTTCAAACATGCCTTAGTCGGATGCATCCTTTCTGCAAACTACCAAGACACAATGTGCTTTTTTTCTGACTTACCCGCAATACAAGAATGCATTCGACCGGGCCATCTTTTTTGACGACCAAGAAGGAGTTTATCTTCTGTGGGATGAACGATACCAACAATAATGACAGGGTCTGTTTTTATAGAAAAGGTAAAATAAAGCGGTTATTAGTTCAGGTAAACATATACAGGCCTATATACACATGCTGTTAATCATGCCGTACACTGGACATACCTGTTCTTGGATAGGCAAAGTTGTGGACTCCCTTTTGACTAATACATGGATCATGTTCACTGCTAGGGCAACGACGTTTGTGACCTGCTTCATCCGAAAATGTCTTTCGTCCGCATGCAGGACAATAGAGATTGCGTGTATTCCAGTCCACTATACAATACAAAATATTCAAGGAATTGTTTAAACTTGCACAAGCTAGAATTGAAGTATTTAAGATATCCTTCTTTGATTCTTACGCATGGCTCTCGCTTGAGCAAGTATAGAAGCCGCTTCTTCATCAATCGAGAAAGCTCGAGGAAGGGCAGGGCTGAATTCTAAGTTCTGCGCCTTAAAGCCTAGTAAAAAGATATTAAGTATATATACATCATATCTCACCGCCATTTCCCAAATCTTACCTTCCACAAGTTTTTTTAATTCTTGCTTATGTGGACCCTTGGGGGTCAAATCCAATGCCCAATATGCCTGACCGTCCTCAGCAGCCGCCTCCTTTTCGTCAATGCCCAAAAAGACCAACATGACGTCACTGTCAGGTTTCACACCATCATCTCCTGGAACTGCTTTATCCACAAGCGACGCAACTTGATCATATTTTGCGAGATAAAGGCCAGCATTTGTCTCGAACAACGGATCCAGTCCATTCAGTAGCAGATATTTTGATCGTGGCGACCGAGCTAAACGACGTAGAATATTTTTATCATTTCGATACCAGCTGAATCTATAGAGCATGTTGTTTATACATCATGTCAATAATAGTCAAAAATTATTACTTTTTACCGAAGCTGCTTACTAACTGTTACATGGAACAATACTCACCTATTCAATGGACTACCGGCAAAAAAGTTGTTCCGGTTGGGTGGGAATGGCGAGCCCTTGATGATCGCTTGTTCTTCATTTTGTTCTTGCTCTTCTCTGGCTCCTTGTGATGGCGCTAAAAGTTTGGCGATGGCGTCAAATCCCCAAAATTCTGCAACTTGAGCGGCCGTTTTGCCTTCGGAATTCGTTGCTGATAAATCACAACCGGGCTGCTTCACTAAAAACTCGACAATGTCGGCTTGTCCAAACCGGGCAGCGAAATGCAGTGCGGTCCAGCCACGCTCGTTTTTCACGCCAACATTGCCACGGTTTTGTTGCAGGTATTCAAGATCGCCTTGAGCCGCTGCTTCAAAAACGTTGCTACTGCTCATTATAATATACAATGGAAAGGAAAAGTAATAAATATACGCGTGAGGAGTTATTCTCGCTAACTCAGATTTCATGGATTTGTCAGCTTGGTAACGCATGAATAGCGTAAACGTTACACACATATTTTGGACGTGGGTACGTTACCTTATGTGTTTGACATCCTTAATTATCGAAGCACTGAGCTGTTTATCGTGTAATTTGATGCTCTACCGTCCCGAAACAATGATATGTGGTGGCATCTGAATAAAATAGCGCCTTTTTGTTTTGAATATCACAATCCAATAAGTAACCTTTCGTTCGGTTCAGGAGGTTAGTGTTCTGGTTATGTAGTAATCATTTTGCTCGACTCTTTGACATTTTTTTTTATTTCTCCTTGATTAGCAGTGATTGTGTATGTTTCCGTTTTTCTATGATAAGTGAAAAGGCACAGCATCGCATTCTTTATAATTTGAACGCAGTGAAGGAAAGCTTCCGCACATCAATGGCCCGACATAGTATGGAACGCTGGAGAAGAAGTAGAATAAGCGAGCCAAGTTAAGCAGACGACTAAAAGCAGTACGCGTGTGGGCTTCACAAGAACGTTACCCAACACTGGCAAAACGATCTTGCTCGATATCGGACAGCTCTGAAAGCGACTCATGCCTGGTTATTGAATCAGCCAAAGAGATGTTCAGACAGCAATTCATGTAGATGAATGCTGCTCAAAAGTATGTGTTGAAACAAAGTGAAGGCGCCAAAAGCATTTATCATAAAGACATAGTGTGTGAATGTGGTGCAGCTTTGAGCTATGAACAGTAAGTTGTGAATCAATTCATAACCTTCGCTGTAATTAAACGCGGAGAAGATTTAAAGTGTACCACTTATCATACGCTTCATATTACAGCGCTGAGCCCTCTTTTGTCCTTGTTCCAATCGACGAGATGTGAAGAAGTATTTCTCTTCTCATGAGCCTCAAACGATTCGTGAAGCTTAACAACAAAATTTCGCGCCTTCCATCACAAGCAGTGCTGTGTACGATAACTTTGATCGATGTGTTGCTTGATTCCGTTGCACCGCTGATTGACAATGATACTAACGGTGTTGAAAAGCCAATGTTATCACCGTCAAATATCGAAAAACTATCGCTCGTCGAAAGCGGACCGTGCAATCCGCGAACACTCTACGATAAAGTTTCCAATCAAACGATCCCTTCTAGATCATTTGCGTTTGTCCCGCTTGGACTTGACCGAAGGAAATAGTACAATTATTTTCAGAAATGGACTGTGTCATCAGTTTCTGGGGCAACTTGGACAAGTTCTCCGGTGGTACTGCTGTCCCTGGAAGATACGTCTTTTCTTTTCAATCCCGAATTCCCAAGTCATCATATTTATGGCTCTTGTTGTTAACCGTGATGAACCTCTGTCGGTTAAAATTCGAGCGCGAAAAATTGGAGGAAGCCAGTCGATCAGCATCCGTCTGCCTGTCCAGATATGCTTATTATCAACGACGGATTGGAACTTGCTTGCTGAGAATATGGCAAGGAGAATTTGGGTAGGTTGACGATGAAAGAATTGGTAGCATTTGCCAAAATATATTGAAAGACATGTTCTGTTGATCATTGGCAAATAGCAAGAAGCGAGCAGCTAGCTCGAGCTCTAGAAAACTGCTGCCACCAATGACAACGGTACGTTATAATCATTGTTTCAAATGACTGTACCTGTACTCCTGACTTATTTGATCGGAATATATGTACAGCTTTGGCAAAGGAAAAACATCAGCAGCAGCAAGAAGCAAAGAAACGCATTAGTCAACTCCTTATTTCATACCATAAATATATCTTCTGTTTTCCACACCTCTCTAACACATTGTATGCGCAAATTATAAAAAGAGCCCAAATTCTATGGCGTTCCAGTACTTGTTTCTTGTTAATTTTGAGCAAACACTTGCTCATAACATTAAGCACCTATGCCCAGGGATTCTATGTAAATCGCTTCTAGGAGAGTCAAGTAGCAACAACAACAACAAAGAAACGTATCATATACTGTCCAGCCTTACTGCTTTTGTTTTATTGAAATACCTACAGAATGTGTATATTTTATTGGAGCTGGACTATAGGGACCAAGTATTGACCTGGTAGATGGCAACTCGAAGCGGTCCAGCTTTCGCGTCAACTGTGCAGATTACATATGATACGACAAAACCACTCGGATCACGCGTCCTAACGTGCGTTAAAAAATCGAAAGGGAAGCATCTTAAATTTCTTACGTGCCCATCTACAAGAAACCACAGTGCAAAAGACCGTGACAATGATGGAAAAGTTATTCAGGCTACTAAATGAATTTACTGTATGCTGAAGGATTTAATACACGGAAAAAACTATACCTAATCTACAATCGCGTACATTGGAGTCACTAGCGAAAACTTCATTTGCCCAGAAAATCTGTGCACAGTTGGTTAAATTATAACGAAAGTACGTAGCTGAATGTTGATTTGCAAGAGCTGTAACATATGCAAGCTAAATAAAGACAGGGTCGATAACACTCAAGCGACTGTTGACCACATTCTGCAGCATATACACAAGATAATAATCACAACTAAAGTTATTTTCACTTGTATTTAGCTGTTTCATCAAGAAAGACGTAGCTACATGATAATTGACCGGCATAATGCACTTAAAAGGCCAGTGGAAGACGCTTAATCCACGAATATATACTTGTTGTCGCTCAGCAGCGTTGCATATATTTAAATCCCTTCGTTTGTATCAGGCGGATCACAAAGATTTACGATGATTATGACCGTCACCATGTAAAGAAACAGAGCAATGTGGAAATCCGCCCATACGTGTGTAGACAACCTAGCATGAACAAAAAGCCGAAAAAGAAACGAGATTTCTTCAGATATGGATGGATATATTGTATGCGTATTGCTTAGTGCCTTTCGCAAAGTCTTGCTCTATTCATAGTCACTATCACTATCATTGTGGCCTGTGCTTTGGAATATAGATCCTTTAGCTTGTGGGGCTTTTTCGTCCTTTTTCTTCAGTACACCTATTTAATCGTACATGATATTAATACGAGTCATCCACAACCATGTATCACACCAACACCAAAATCACTTACCAGAATTGGTCAATTTCAATTCCAATACTGCAGTTGAAAAGCCATCCGTTCCTCCCAGATCATCAAAACCAACAATTCTTTACGAAAGATAGAGCAAGTCAGGTTAACAATATTCTTTTATCATCAGGAAACTTCGTCACACTTTGTTGATATACTTACTTTGTCTGCGCGTATCCATCCACCCAGGCCATTACACATGGTAAGACACGAATCGACAATTTCTCCACCAAAAAAGGACAATTCGACACGTTGATTTTGATGAATCGCGTTTGATAATGCTTCTTGCACAACGTCTATATGTATCAACCAGCATGAGACTTTTTTGCAAGCCTTCATGTTGATGATCCCCCTCCCTTCCAACGTTTCTTCTCCCTCTTACCTCCAAGTGGGTATCCATAATCTTGCACCGTCGAAAATCGTCGTGGAAAAAGTGTCCCACTACATATTTGGAACTGGTCGTGATATTCATGAATTCTTTTTCGTTCGTGATCTCGGTGAACTCGCCATGGCTGTTTTCACCCATCGTCTGTCGTCGTTCAAACCTATATTTCGTCAAACGAACAAATGAGTTATACTAGTAGCTAGGGTCCTAAAATGATGGGTAGATTGATAAAGTTGTTAAGATGTGGACGTACTCTTGTTGGATTTCCTTGATCCGGCGTTCTCTCAAAGAGGCAATTTCGTTCTCTTCTTCCTTCTCGAGTTCTTCAAACAATGCCTCATCGTCTTCAATATCGGATAAATCTTGGTTCCTTTTAAAAAACTTTGTGTGAGCCGCAATGATAACGTTTACGGTGTATAAGCGAGTGAGCTTATGACTCGTACCTGTTACTCATGTCAAATAAGAAAAACTGTCAAATATATAAAGGGGCAGCAGGTGCAAGCAGCGGAATGCAATTAATAAAAATGACCCGCAACCGGGCCGCTGGGGCTGCCTGCCTTTTTTTTTTCCAAGGAAACCCACAAAACCCGATCGCAAAACGGCAAGAGCCCAAAATGGAAGACGAACTTGAACGACTACGTGAACGCGTTTCGGTTCTGGAAGCACAATTAGCAAAACAACAGTTACAACAGCAAGATCGTGCAGCAACTTTTGAAATAGCCAATCAACTTAACAATGAAGAGATTCGTCGTTTCGGACGACAATTGATCCTTCCGGAATTCGGACCGGCTGCACAGCTCAAACTGCGCAATAGCTCCATACTAGTAGTAGGGGCAGGTGGTTTAGGAGCACCTGCTATCCTCTATTTGGGAGCAGGCGGTGTCGGTAAACTCGGTATTGTCGATCATGACGTTGTGGATATATCAAATTTGCATCGTCAAGTGATCCATAAGGAACGAACCCAAGGCATGAATAAGGCTGTTTCGGCCATGTTGGCAGTACACGAGTAAGTATTAACATGCATGCGCTGTTGCTGATGACGATACTAACAAAGAAAGGGGAATTGACACATTTCTGTATTGCTGCCTCTACTGTTTGCAACAAATTAGAATTCATCCACACTGTCATGTGACACCGTATCCCATTCTGTTGGATAGCTCCAACGCACTTTCCATTATCAAGCAGTAACGTGTTTTAATATTATACTTTATGCCAAGGTCATTATTCTTATTGCAACTAAATGGCTAATGGCTGTTTGATAGGTATGATGTAGTGTTGGATGCAACAGATAATGTGGCCACGCGTTATTTGCTCAATGACGCATGTGTTTTGGCTGGCAAACCACTGGTGTCTGGTAGCGCGCTGCGGATGGATGGTCAGGTAGAGGAGATGCAAATATAAACAAACGAAATTACTATTCATGGAAAGCCGCAACTAAAATAATAGGCAATCGGTTTAGCTTACGGTTTACAATCATAATGGCGGGCCTTGTTACAGATGTCTACACCCCGTGCCTCCTCCTCCCGAAACCGTGACCAATTGCTCTGATGGTGGCGTCCTTGGTGTCAGTAAGTAACCTTAGTAACTCTATTTATATTGTCGGTATGCTAATGACGTATATACAATACCTGTAGTTCCTGGTGTGATTGGTGTATTGCAAGCATTGGAAGCTATCAAGATTGCTTCGGGCTTAACTCGTAAGTTGGATCACCCTGTTTGCTGTTGCATAGGCTTGGGCGAAACGATATGTGCTTATCATGCGTATACTATTTTTGGACGGTTTGTTTAGAAAATGAGTCTTCACATGGTCTCCTCGTTTTTAATGGTTGTTTTTCGCCCATGTTCCGTTCTATCAAACTGCGCGGAAAGAAGAAGGAATGCTTGGTGTGTGGAGATAACCCAACCATCACAGAGCTCATAGACTATGTAGAATTTTGTGGGGCAGGCGCCACCGACAAGGTAAACGCGAATGATCTACTTGTTATTATGTTGTGGGCTATGTGGTGATGTAATGCGCATATTATGCTAAATGATAAAAATATTACACGATCAAACAATAACAACAATACACCAACAGGAGGCATCGCTTTATGTTTTGAAACCAGAAGAACGTATTAATGTTCAAGTAAGTCTCATGAGTATATGTGTGTGTGTGTGTGATGGGCCATGGAAAAAGTGGCACACAGATAGAAAAGAGAGAGAAAAAAGAAAAGAATGATAGATCTGACGGCTATATTGCTTTTCTGCCTCAATTAGCAATACAAACAAGTGTTAGAAAGTAACGAGCGCCACCTATTGCTAGACGTACGGAGTCCGGTACAGTTCAAAATCTGCAATCTAGCAAACAGCGTAAGCATACCACTGGATAAGTTGGAATCGCAGTTAGCAGGGATCAAGGAGCAGATAGAAAAGCAGAAAGCAAAAAATGGCAAGTTTTTTCCTATTTACTTTTTTTCTATCAGCTAGCGAGCTGTGCGTGTGGTGTAGTTATTTAATCCGTAAAAAAATGGGACCCTTCCTTTCATTTTCGTTTTATCAGTCTATGTAGTATGCCGATTAGGAAATGATTCACAGCTGGCTGTGCGAATGTTGCAGAAAAATGGAATCGCAAACGCGCGCGATATCGCTGGCGGACTGTATAAATGGGCAACAGATATCGATACTACATTTCCTATCTACTAAGTACATAACAAATAAAGTTTACGTTGTTTTTCTTGCTCTCTTATCTCCAAAAAAAGCAAGAATTGATATTCATTGTGGCCCACCCCCCACCTTTCCACCTTCCGGCCCCTAGTCCTCTCTACCCGTCCCTACATGGAGAGGGAAAAAAAGGCTCCTGGAGCAAATAGTGCTAGCTGGCTCTGTAGTAGTACCCTATATCTCCTTTTCTATCACGACCTAGGCTACCGCACCCATCGATCTTCGTATAAACCCGTCACTCAATCGCCGTCATTGCTAAGAACCCCGAAAAAAGAAAAAAAAAGATTATTCGGCTCTCCAACGTAGGCTTAGAGAAATGATTTTCCGTACTTGCGGAAGGCGCATATGCTTTCAAGAACGAAAGAGTGGGGGACCGTTCGCTAATTTGATTTTTGCTGTCCCGCGCTAGGTGCTAGTAATTACTGGTTACTACTAAGTAGTAGTAAAGGTGGCACTAGGCGCTCTACGTAGCGCGTGTGAGCTTAGAATCAAAAAAAGATAAGCATTTTTGTTTGTAGAACGAAGCGTGACCTTTACATGCCACGTTAGACAAAGTGATAGACACCGAGGTCTGGTGGGGTTTTGCATGTTTCTGCGTCGCGTGTGATGGTGCTACAAAAAAGAGAAACATATTAAGTTCATGGGCAAGGCGGCAAGTTGTTTTGAAAGAAGACTGGATTAACGTGCGGGGTGGGAGCTTGGGGGGTGGAAGTCAACGTGATGGATGGAAGAGGAGTTTGTAAGGAAGCTGCTAGGTAGCTGATTGGGTGGGTGTTGGAGCTCCCTTAATGAAGTGAGTGGTGGTAAGTAAGCAAGTGGCCCCCAGGACGGCAAAATCTTTTCCTTTTGGCCTCTGTTGACTATGGTACCTGACCAATCATCGCCTATTGTTGTCTTCCATCCCTTGCAAGACCAGACGGCAAGCAAGGAAAAAAAGAGAGCCGTGCCCTGACGGACGATGATTGGTCCTCTGCCTATCCACCCTATGTCGTGTACCCCCCCCCCATAGACGCTCCCTTTTCTTGCTTAATGTAGCAACAGCAGCAAACACACAAATCAATGTTTGTGAGTGCATGTAATGTAAACAAACCTTTTACAATAAGTAGTGTGTGTGTAAACCTTAAAGAGCAGCGTTTCCGTTATCTCTAAATTCACTGTTCAGCAAGGTTTGTATATGTACGTGAGATGGGAGCACAGCAGCAGCAGCAGCAGCAGAAGCAACGCGAGATTTTCCTTGCGTAACGTTACATTTGTTCCCTTTGACAGCAGAAGAAGGATGAACCTAATCGCAGGTTTGCCACGCCATTCTGCGTTCTGATTGGTCGCATTACTGTTTAGGAAATTCTTTCGGAATTGATTTGTACCTCGTCCGCCCATCCTTTTTTTTTTTTCTTTTGCATCCATCCCGAAGAGTCTCCAAGGTTCATCGTTCATCGCCCGCACCGCCCGCGGAATATCTGCTGAACATCAATTTATTTTTCAAGTCCTTTTTTTTTTCCGTTTATATAAAACCACCCCTCCATCCCAAACCCTCCACGGCCTCTGACCCTCATAGCGTGTTCTTCTCTTCTTCTTCTTCTTCTTCTTCTTCACATCCATCACTCCAGCAAGACAGTTTAATGCTCCACCGTGCCATTCCTCGCGCTACTCCTTCTCCATTGCATTGCTCTATCCGCTGGTCGCCACCGCAACCTCAACCACTCTCATCTCGATTCCTCCGACTTCATAATCTTCCTTCTTCTTCCACACCCTTCCGTCGCTCCTATGTCACCCCCTCCTCTTCACGGCCACATCAACACCAACGGCCACACTTCAAGTCCATCTCCGCCAGCGTTGCGCTTGCCTCTGCTGCCTCGCTGATGTACTTTTACAACGCCCAGCGAGACAAGAATGTCGTGCACGCCGAATCAACCATGCCTCTCTCGGCATTCAGCGCGGCCTCGCCATCCAATGTTTTGGCTGAACTCAACGACGACGACAACCGATCCTTCTTGCAGGCCAAGTCGACCGAAGAGCTCGTGCTCGCTACATTTGTCTACAAACTGTGCACCTTGTCTTGGCTAGTCGATGCCGCCCCGCATCTCATCCATTTGGCCCACACCTTGGGCATGGAGAAGGTTGCCTACTGGGTCGTCCGTAGTACCTTTTTCAAAAACTTTTGTGGCGGTGAGACCGCTGAAGAATGCATGAGCGTCATGGACAAGCTCACGCGCTCTGGCATCAACTCCATTCTCGACTTGAGTGTTGAGGCTGATGAAAACGTTACCCAGGATGCAGCCAGCCTGGAGAAACTCTGCGACTTTAACATGAAGATGATGAAGATTGCCATCGAAACTGCCGCTCGAGGCCAGCAACAGTTCACCCAAGGCTCTTTTTTTTCCTCGACCGTTCCTCTTGTAGCTGTCAAGGTCACTGCCTTGACGACGCCTGACCTGCTTTTGAAATTGAACCAGGCCATCGCTACCTTGGACAAGGCTTTCCACGAACACCAAGTCGAAGGCAAGGTCAGCGTCGACTCGCTCCGCACGATTGCCGATCAAGTTTTCCCTACTTCTGCTAACGACAAGGCCGAGCGCGATGCCATCTTCACCAAGCTTGCCAGCGAAAAGGCTTCGGTCGATTTCATCGAGTATACCAATCTGTTCAACACCAACAGCTCCTTCCGCGATGTCTGGTACACCCATGGCAATCTCCTGAACAAGGACGATCTGGTTACTTATGACCGCATGATTGCTCGTATCAACGAGATCTGCACTCTTGCCAAGGACGTCAAGGCTGGCATCATGATTGATGCGGAGCAGACCTATTTCCAAGAAGCCATCGACCACGTTGCGATCAACATGGAGTCCAAGTACAACCGTCGTGACGAAGAGCGGGCACCCACTGTCTACAACACCTGTAAGTCCTACATAGCAGTAGCAGCAATGTTTATTGTTTGGCAGCTACCCCACTTTAAGGTTTTAGATCGTGTTACTTAGCAGCCCCCTTTCTTCTTTACGACACCTATTAGATCAAATGTATACCAAGGCCTCGTTGCGCAAGGTTAAGATTGATGTTGAACGTGCTCATCGTGAGAATTTTGCTTTCGCCGCCAAACTTGTTCGGGGCGCCTACATGGTCTCGGAGCGCAAGGTAAATTTTTTTCTTATTCAGCAAACCCCACTTTTCGAGAAAACACACGAGGGAAAAAAATCAAAACAAAAACAAAAATACTGACCTCCTCTCCCCAAATCACTTTATGGCTTTTCCAGCGTGCCATTGAAATGGGTTACCCATCCCCTATCCACGACACTTTGGAAGATACCCACGCTTCATACAATGGCGGTGTCCGTTTCTTGCTTTCGAAATTGCACGAACACCAAGAAGAAACCGGCGAGCCTTTGACTGGAGCCACTGCCCCGATCGTGTTTATGGTCGCTTCGCACAACCGTGAATCGGTTATTCTGACCATTGAAGAAATGGAACGTCAAGGTGTCTTGCCTCGTTCGGGCGTTGTCCACTTTGGCCAATTGTATGGCATGCAAGATCAAATCTCGTATGCTCTCGGCAAGAACGGCTATTCCATCTACAAGTACTTGCCTTATGGCTTGATCCAGGATGTCCTTCCTTATCTTATTCGTCGTGCTCAAGAGAACTCGTCTGTTCTCGGAAGCGTTACCAAGGAGCGCGAACTGATCTTCCAAGAGATCAAGGACCGTTTGGCCGGTAAGGCTGGTAAGCCTGTCATTCAGTCAGCACCCACAGTCGTGGTTACCCAGGCTACCGCTGGTGGTGCTCCCGCTGCCGAGTCTTCACCAGCTACTGAGGCTCCTGCAGCTGCCGAAACGGCCTAAAGTTCTCCACTTATTATTCTCCACATCCAACTTATCCTAATCCGCTCCCAACGTAATTCCCCCTTCTTACCTCGCTCTCCTCTCCATACTATCTAAAACCCTCATCCTATTCTCTTCATCATCATGTACATTTTTGCTCGTTCTTCTGTATTCCATGTATTTTTATTGCATATTACGCACCCTCTTTTTCCTATCCCACAACACACGCACACCTTCTGCTCCGTTCGTCAAACGAGCACTATAATTATTACAGCACTTTTTAAGATAGAAAAGTCTTCTCTCAATTACTTACTTACACACTCACCCTCCACAATCGCCCCTCAGGGCCGTGGCTATACATAAAACCTCAAAGTAAATAAATACTTTTATAAGAACTAAAAAGATAAATGGTTGCTTTATTATCATTATGTGTAGTGTAGCGGTCGGAATGTTACGGGCGCGCTAAAACGCGGGATCGCAAACTTTATCCTTTTGATTTCGAGATACAGTTTGTTATTGTGTCACGCCAAATTTGTCGTTAATGACGGGGGTGCATGTACTTAATATGTGTGGGGGAGGGAGGGGAAGCAGGGCACTCGGGAAGGTACAGGGGGGGATAAGAACTAAGAATGGGTGCGAATACCCAAGTCCCCGCGGACCTATGCACGAAGAACACGAATCTACCTAGTAGATAAAGGAACGGAAAAGATCCACTTTAACATACATGCACATAATATATTACTAAGTACTAGTAGTAAGTAGCTAATGCAACTAGCTTCCATTACCTTTGTCGCGAACCATAAGCAGCAGATAATTTCGCCGAAACGTTCAATCAGTAAAAGAGGTATCCACAGACTTTATGTTTGGTTGTTACCACCTATGTTAAATAACATAATCTTCTTGTTATTCACGCGACTTGGTCATCAATCTTTTCCTTTCTTTGTGGGGTAACGGGTATTATTTGTGGTGGGAGAATGGAAACTTGTCATTTAAAAAGAAAGGCTCTAGACCACACGCTCACTTGGTAAGTTCTGCAGGCAGATAGATGAATTTCGAATTGCAGAAAGACGCATGGACACCACCACCCGTGTTATTAACAAGAGCATGTACGCCATCGCCAAGGAATCTGAGACTCTTGGGTGCTTGCAATCGATCACCAGTCGACCCCGATAATACTGATAGTTCGGGAACAACGGGACCGACAAATTTAGAACATCAGATGAGCGCTCGTTTGAGGCGAAGTTGCTGCTAATTAAGAGCACTCACTGTGGTTGCGGGGGTGAACGCTCGTTCAAGTTTGGTTGCTCCGTTGTGACGGGCTCCTCAAAACATCTTGTTCATTTTGGCGGGGAAACCTTTCTTTTAAAGTGCTAGGCTAAGTAAAGAGCCTTTTTTCTACACGGTGAATTCGTTATGTATATCATAACTTTTCTGGGGGAGGGATGGGGAGGAGGCGAGAAAAAAGAGCCGTTGGAGCAGAGGAATTAATAGAGATGTGATTTTCTTTGTTTCCCTTCATATCTATTGTTATGTCAATTATTAGGTTTTCCCGTGTCTCATTTTATGCTTGATCTTGTCGTAGCTGGAGATGTTGTCAAGGAAGTCGTGTAAATTTTACGATAGATTATTAGAAACTGGTCTTTACATACTGTATATTTAACGTTGCTCTTCTTACAGCACAAAGTATTTTACCAGCTGAGCGGTTGGCTTAGAATAATCACTTTGCATTGTATATGAGTTACATACATATTGTGGTGAACCTAAAGCCTTCATGTTTTACTGTTGAAGATAGGTAGGCATATCTGCGGGTATTTCTCTGTGTTAAAGGTGAGAAGACATACTTATGCATTTTAAATAGAAAATGAGACGCGATAATTGAAAAAAAAACACCTTGGATGAGAATATATGCTACTGTAGAATAGATCTATGTCATGAGGCGAAAAAAAAACGATGGAAGAAGGTGTATATATACAAGATATAGGTAAAGTAATAAAGAGTTTGTCGTGGCTTTGGATCGAGGTATAGGTGTTAGCGGGGGTAGTAATGCCTCCTCTGGAGCTAGCCCATCGCTGTCGTCATAGCTGCCATCAGGATGACTCTACCGACCGATTTATTTTCCAGAGTGTACACGAATTAGCGCTGCTCTGGACCTTTGAAAATTTGCACAGGATACGCCGGTACCATACACTTTGTAAAGATAAGTATCATAGGAAACAAATTTGTCAGTTGGTGAGCAAGCAGTGGAAAAGATTGGCTTCAGTAGAGTTTAATCCGAGTACTATCTCTTCTTTTGTTATCTTGCTGCTTCTAGTCTGCCCATATCTGCAAAGAAAGGCAATTAAAAATGATTTGTGTAAGTTGTACATAGCTCAAGTAGTTTTTTATCTCCATTACTACCAATGCTGATAGTGGTGATACCCCGAGAACTATCCCTCCAATAAAATCTGAATACAAGAAAGAGCTGCATAACAAACATCAAGCACATCACATCACACAACAACAAGAGCTCTACTACAGCAGCCTCGCAATTACTACAACATTCTGGCACTTTCCATAAAGCCAAGGACACAGCGATCCAATAACTACGCAGCAACAACTCTACACACTTCTGGCACCTTCCAAATTGCCAAGGAATAGCTAATAATAGCATTATTCCTAGACTTTCCAATTGATTCCACATCCGTAACCATTGGATGCGAGTACTTTCCACAACCTTCGAGCATCATCTTTGATGTTCAATTATTATAGATGTATTGAATTATTTTGAAAGATATAAATACCCCCTCATTTTATTTGAATAAAGACATTGAATTTCTACCTCCCACTTTTGACTTAACTTTTCAAGTGTTGTTTTCAATCACTCAAGACCTAAACACGGCTTGTTTTATCTTACATATTGTTTATTGCTCATAACTGAAGCTAAATAAACTCTTCTATTAAGACCAGACGTAACATTCCTGCTCTTATTTCTCATTTACTTGGACAGACGTAACATTCCTGATCCTTATTCCTCATTCATTTTGGACAGACGTAACATCCCTGATCCTCATTTCTACTCACTGAACTTAATCAAGACAACAGCTCCCCACTATTTACAACCTTGGACATAACCCATACACATTTTTACCTTACTTTACACTCATATCACTTCACAACCCGCCTGTAATAAACGATATTATTACTGGTGCTCACTACTAAACATACACATAAACCGTTACGCAACTACCTGGAATACCCCAAATTCACCGTAACACATCTGGTGCTCACTAGAGGGATAACAAGCACAAAACAAGACAATTACCAAGGATAACGATCTCAAGAACATCCTACTTCAAGGCACTCCCGCGAAACAATCACAAGGACAAGAACTACCTGCCCGCTCGGATATCTATCAAGGACAAGAAGACAAGTCAAGATGCAAAAATACATGCCAGGAGCTTTCCAAACAAACAACGTGCGAGACGAACTTACTCTGTTGGACGACAGCACACGATCTTCCATGCCCCCTCATTGGCTGACCTACAGTGGATTCGAGCATGAAAGTTTCCGCACATTTCGCCGTGCGTTCACTTCTTACATACTCGTCACAGGCGCTCAATCGGAGACAAGACGACTAGAAATTTTGCAAGGAGTATTGCAAGGACCGGCTTTAACCTATTACCAAACTCAAGTCTTGCCTGAATTACAGGAAGAAAGAGATGAGAACAACTCCCCCATCACAGTTACAGCAGCATTAGATTTGCTCGAAGACAACTACGTAACTGAATATGACATCCAACGATTCCGTGAACACTTCTACACCATAATGCAGAAGATCGATGAAAGCCCCAGATCTTTCCTCGGAAGACTACGTGAAGCAGCTCATGAAGCAGGCATCACGGAAGCAAGCCAAGTACAATCTCGATTCAAAGCTGGATTACTACCCGAAATCAGAAAACATTGCATTAGAAGCCGCGCATTGACGCACGAATTGGTACTTCAATACGCTGAAGGATACTGGAATGCTGAAAGAGACAACGGAAGCATTCGCAGAGTAAACCAAAGACGAAGAGACGGCCAGACGCTCGCCGTAATGGGTGAACCCCACAACCAACTAGACACGGAAGAAGATCAAATCTTAGATGAAAAGATCGAACAACTGGTTGAGGCAGGATACTCCCCTGCAACAGCAGCGCGAATTGCCTTCAGATCACAACAAAGAAGCAACGTGGTTCAGCAAAACAATGCCAACTACAATGCACGAAGACCAAGCTATCCACCTCGAAATCAAGAAAGACGATACCCTTACCAACCAGGTCGACGACAAAACTACAATGACCAGCAAAATGGGAATGAAAGACAACGCCCATATCAAGACCGCCGACCTTACTACAACAACAACCAGCGACCATATCAACAGCAACAAAGCCATAACAACGGACGTCCGCAACAACAAAAGGACCACGATCAAAGGCAGTCGAACGGAAGACCCAACCAGAACGAGGAACCTGCCATGAGAACACCAAAAGAAGATCGACCGAACAGTAATAGCAGACCCAATGTGTACAGCAATTTCGCACATTTGGAAGATCGATACCAAGAGGAATACTACGACGATGTTGACGATTATTGGCATTCAGAAGAAGAATACTACGACGACCAGTATTACGAAGAACCTCAAGGATACAACAAGTCAAAAAACTACTAGGGCCAGTTGCTCATGAGAGACGCGGTCAACTGAACGCCCCCACCAACTATAACAAACCCGCAAGGAACAGAAGAACACCCAAAAGCAAAAACAAATCCGACCTGCAACATCGAGAATATAACAATGCTCAAGACTTATACACTATACAAAAGCGACCCTTGAGCTTAGAAAACACTGAAAAACGACGAAGTATGAGCCTGAGATCAGGATCAAAAGTCAACAAAATTGTACACGCAGACAAACCCGATCCAGCAAAGAAACGACAACGACGAGTACAATTCCAGGAACAAGAAATTAACAAACGACCATCATCTTCAAGAACCAATGAGCCGACGAACCAACCACAGGCTATACCAAGAGAGATGGCTACACCAATGGATACTACTAGGAATGACCAAACGATGACGGATCGACCAGTTGAACGACCGATGGAAATAGACAGATCCCCGAACAAAGGAAAGGAACCTATACGGAAGAACAACATCGACGAAGCAAGAAAACCAAAGTCACGACGCGCGCCTAGAACGAAACCAATTATCGACTACGATATTGTAGAAGATGTATCCAACATAACAGCCCAAATAAAGATCGGAGAACTTATCAAGGCTTGTCCTAATTTAGACGAGACCTACATAGCTTCACTGCTGTACGCAGAAGAAAAGATAAATCTCTAAACATATTGGAACTGAAGCCAAATCTAGACTCAACTG